AATTAGTTGCTAGAATGAGGAAACGGAGGGTGGGTAGTACTTAGTAAGATAAGATTGACTTTGGCAAATGACATAGCCTTCAAAAAAATTGAGGGCGGGTGGGCGGGGCTAGTACTTGCTAAGATAAGATTGACTTTGGCAAATCACATATCCCCTAAAAAAAAGAGGGTGGGTGGGCTGGGCTAGTACTCGATATGTTACTCTGATTTTGGCACTTTTAACATTTTTGACCACTTTTCAACTATTTTCGAAAATTAGTTGAATACATTTTTTTATAAATTTCGATATCCAGAGCCATTTTCGGCTTCGTTTCTTCGGAAATTTCTACCGTTTTTCTATAAACGCTAATTGAAAAATAGCAGTTTTTACAGTTTCGTCAAAATAGTTAGTTCGGTACAGTGCCGTAAATAGCACCCCCGCAGATCCCGCAATGCGGGGGGGGGGGGGCAGCGTCAAAAGGGGCGCAGACCGTAACGTAACCGATATATTTTTTTAAAATGTGCAATTTTTAAAGAAGGGGTTTTCATTGGAATTGAAAATGAGGTCAGGTAAATTAATAGCTATTTAACGAACAAGTTTGTTAAGAAAGATAATTAATAATTAACGCGCGAGGAACGAGTTTTTATATTTTTTCTTTTTCTCAATTTGAAATTTTTCAGTTTTTGGATTTTTCAATTTTTTTTGTTTTCAATTTTTCGTTTCTTCAATTTTTGATTTGCAGGTGTACTAATTTTCATTTTAGATATGTAATAATAATTATAATTTTTATTAGAGTTTTCAATTTTTCCTTTTTGGAATTTTTTAATTTTTCAATCTTTGAATGTTAGTTTTTGGACTTTACGAACATTTCTCGTTTTAATTCGGTCTTTGATTCATTAATTTTTTCTCGATTTCTAGTTTTTCAATGTTTCTATTTTTCGTTTCTTCAGTTCTACAATTTTGTCAAATAAATGTTATATAAATTACAAAAAAAGTAACAGTGTACCTATGGTCTATGAATCCGTGTTGAATTTTTATTTTCGACATCGAAATTTTTGTGGAAAAATAAAACAAAATTGAATTACAATTTTTCGATTTCTTGATTTCTCGATTTTTAGTTTACTTAATTTTTCGATATTTCAGTTTTACAATTTTTGCAATTTAAAAAAAATCATTTTTACATTTCTCAATTTCTCTATTAATCAATTCTTTGATTTTTCGATTTTTCCTCTTTCCAATTTATCGATTTTTCAGTTTTTCGATTTTTCAAGTTTTCGTTGTTCCAATTTTGGGATTTTTCAATATCTCCAATTTTTTAATTTAAAATTTTTCACTCTTTTGATATATCGATTTCTCGATCTTTCGATTTTTAAAATTTCTGATTTTTCGAATTTTGAATATTTTGATTTATCGTTTTTTTTAAGGTTAAATATGTATTTCAGTTTTAAATTTTCCGGTTTTTCGATTTCTCCATTTCACGGATCTTTTGATGTCTCAATTTTTTAATTTCAATTTCTCGGCTTTTCCATTTTTCAATTTTTTATTTCTTCAAGTTTTTAGATTTTTAAAATTCTCCATTTTTCGATTTTATGTTTTGTTATGCTTCGATCTCCCGATTTTAACGTTTTTAACGTGTATTCCAATTTTTCGATTTTGGAATTTTCGATTTCTTACATCTCGATTTTTCGTTTTTTCGATTTTAAAATGTTTTTACTTTTCGTTCTTTTTTTCGATTCTGGATTTTTCAAGTTTTCGATTTCTCAATTTTTCAACATTTCAATTTTGAGAATGTCTATATTTTTCAGTATTTTGATATTTTCATTTTTCAACTTTTTAAATTTTGATTTTTCGACTTACCGGAAATCGATTTTTGGGTTTTTCAATTTTTCGACTTTTCAGATTTGAGATTTTTCAATTTGTCGATTTTTTGGTTTTTCATTTCTTCAGTTTTTCGGTTTTTCAAGTTTTCGAATTTTTAAATTTAAAATTTTTCAATTTTTCGATTTTATTTTTTTTACGTTCCGAATACCCGATTTTAATTTTTTTTATGATTTTCAATTTTTGGTTTTTCTAAATTTTCATTTTTCCATTTCTCAATTTCTCGATTTTTCGACTTTTTGATTTTGTGTTTTTTTAAATGTTAAATTTTTCATTATTGTAATTTTTCAATTTTTTAAATTTTAGATATTTAGATTTTTCGACATCTTGAATTTTCGATCTTTTTTCAGTTTGAATTCCTCGGTTTTTCGATTTTCCAAAATTTCGATTTTTCAACGTTTCGATTTTTGAAAATTTTCGATTTCTCGATTTTTCAGTTTTTGTTTTTCCAACTTTTAGATGTTTCAAATTTTAGAGTTTGCAAATTTCACGAGTTTACAGTTTTTAATTTCGTCAATTTTTCGATTTGCATTTTTTCCTGTGGGTTTTTAATTTTCTTTATTTTTTCAATTTTCGGCTTTCAATTTTCCGTTTTTTTACTTTTTCAATTGCAGTTTTTCTAGTTTTCATTTTAATTATGTAACACTCCTAATAATTATAATTTTTAAAGTTGTTCACTTTTTCATTTTTTCGTTTTTGGAATTTTTCAATTTTTCGGTGTTTGAATGTCACAGTTTTTGGACTTTACAATGTTCAAGTTTCTATAATTTTTCGATTTTACAATTTTTGGATTTTCCAATTTTTCAATTCGAATGGTTTTTCTTCTTTCCCATTCTTCGATTCATTAATTTTTTTTAAGTTTTTCGGTTTTTAGTTTTTCATTGCTTCAATTTTTCATTTTTTCGAGTTTTTAACTTTTCGAATAAACAAAATCGAAAAATTATAAAATAGAAAAATTGTAAAACTGAAAAAGTACAAAATGAAAGCTTCGAAATATAAAAAAATTGGAAATCAAGAACTTAAAAAATCAAAGATTGAAAATGTAAAAAATTAAATAAACAAAAAATTATAAAATCCAAAGGAACATTGAAAAAATAAAGATAATGGAAAAATGAAAAATTGTGATATAAAATCAAAAAAATGAATATTACAAAATCGGGAAAATGAAAATATCGAAAATCTGAAAAATATAGAAACTGAAAAATTCCCAAAATTGCGATGTTTAAAATTGAGATAGCGAAAATTTAAAGATCGAGAAATCGAAAAATTTTTAAAATTGGAAAATTGAGATATGAGAAATCGAAAATTCCAAAAATGGAAAAATTGAAACACATTAAAAAATTAAAATCGGGAAATCGAAACATAAAGATTATAAAAGGGAAAAATGAAAAATTTAAAAAATCGAAAATTTAAAATATATACTAAAAAAATCGAAAATTTTGAAAATCGAAAAACCAAGAAATCGAAATCGAAAACTTGAGACTTCAAAAGATCGAGAAATCGGAATAGGCCGAAATCGGATAATTCAAAATTGAAATATTTACTTAAAAAAAAGATAAACGGAAAAATCGAAAAACTCAAAAAAATCGATAAACCTAGATGTGAGAAACAGAAAATTCCAAAAATCGAAAAATTGAAATACAGATTAAAAAGTTTAAAAAATCGAAGTTAAAAAATCGTAAAAACAAATTCCATTCGATTTTCCGTTTCATGGATTTTGCAATTTTTTGTTTCTTCAATTTTTTCCAATTTTTTAATTTTCCGATTTTTCAATTTTTCGAATTTTCTACTTGCCGAATAAACAAAATGGAAAAGTTATAAAATAGAAAAATTGTAAAATTGAAAACTCAAAATGAAAAAACGCAAAAGTATAAAATGAAGGCTTCGAGAAATCTAAAAACTTGCGAAATTGAAGAAACGGAAAATTCAAAAATCGAAAGATTAAAAATTGAGAAACTTAAAGATCGAAAAATTGCGGTCGAAAACACGAAAATTATTGTAAAATCTAAATATTGAAAATTGGAAAATCGAGGAATTGAAAATGTGAAAAATTGAATAAACGAAAAATTGTGATATCAAATCCAGAAAATGAAAATTAAAATGTTGGGAAAATGGTATAAAAAAAAATGAAGAACTTGAAACAACATCATTACGCCGAAAATGTTCATTGCGCTACACATAACCTCAATTTAGTCCTTAATGATTCTGTTAAGAATGTACCAGGAATTTCCGCATTTAATGATTTAATAAATGCTACATACGTCTATTTCAGTGAGAGTTTACCGAGATGGCAACAACAACAACATTGAGATGAAAGAAAATGATAAGTGTTTTATAAAAAAACTTTAAAAAAGTTATGCCCCACCAGATGGTCATCGAGATTTGATTCTCTAATTGCATTAGATATAATCTCTCAAGATTTATGAGCTGAAATTATTTTAACATCAAAAAAGAAAAGTGAAATAGATGAAGCTGTAGCTCTTCGTAAAAAAATGGATTCATTTGAATTTGTTGCTCTATTAGTATTTCAATGCAAAATTTTAGAAAATGTTAATTTGGTCTCAAAAACTTTACAGAGTTCAAATATTACTTTAGATGAGGCTTGTAAATGGATGGAAGATATAAAAGACAAATTTCAAAGTATACGTGATTGTGAATCTAGATTATATTATTAGTTCCACTCCCACTCGACAGAAGAACATAATTAGCCCCGCCCACCCACCCTGTCTTTTTTTCAGTGATTAATTTCATGCAATTTGAATGAAATGAATGATATTATATGCACAGAAATACAATTAGTCGTTAGAATGAGAAGAGGGGGAGTGACTGATTTTGGCAGATGACATACCTTCCAAAAAAATAGAGGGCGGGTGGGCGGGACTAGTACCTGCTAGCCTATACCTGATTTTGGCATTTTTGGCATTTTCAACAATTTTTCAACCATTTCCGAAAATCAGTTGAAGACATTTTCTTATAGATTTCGATATCCAGAGCCATTTTCGGCTTCGTTTCTTCGGAAATTCCGGGAAAAGTAGATAAAATATCATCAAAAAAGATAAAAAGAGAGCTTAACCTTTTAAATTACAGCTTTTATTTTATCATAATCGTAATTTCAAGACGAACCCAAATTCTAGTTTGCTTACCTGATTTACCAAACGAATGTGACGGCCGTTCCGTGATCGAAGAATCGTCCCCTTTGCACTTCTTGTGAAAAATGCACTTCTTCCATCCACAAATGGCCGTTTTAAAGTATTGACGAAACCTTAAAAAAATCAATTATTACAGTCAAACATCGCTAAACGGGAACATTCTACGAATCAACAGGTTTATTTATCACAGAGATCGTTCCATTTTTAGCTGAAGCAGTAGAAAATGAAATTTATTTTAGCAATACGCAGTAAAATTGTAACGATCTATATAAACTCTGATAGGTGCTCATACCGTAATGCGAAAACGGCATACCTTGCGTTCATCCAGTAATAAATCAGGGGATTCACCATGGCATTCGACATAGCGAACCAGTAAAATGCGAGATATACATGTTGCGTGTATTTACTGAAAATTATATCAGTGTCGTAGTAGACGTAGAGGAAATAGCCGTGATATGGGAGCCAGCAAATTGCGAAGATGAAGACGATGAGGATGAACATCTTGACTACCTGAAAGAATTCGTTCACTATTGATTATTTTTGACGAAAAGGGCCTGAAGCGATTTGATACCTCATTAAAATTAAATCGGGCTTTTTTCAGTCGGGTGTAACTTTTCAGTGTGCAATATGAGGCAAAGTGGACAATTTGAAACGATTATTTTCGAATTTTTACGCCAATTAGACGTCGGGACTTTTTTTGAGATTATTTATGGAGTTGTTATTTTTTTTTAAGAAAAAGTCTTGTAAGAATGTTGTGACGAGTTTACTCAGACAGTCAAAGAGACGTAAATTACATCATTTTAAACGTTAATTAAGTCGAAAATTGCTTGTAGAATTGCAACAGCGTTTATAATAATTATACATTGAAACCACATAATCGATATGTTTATTAAGAAAGTTATTAAAAAATCATTTACAACTTCTCGTGCAAAGTTTTTATAAACCTGACATTTCAACAAGTTTTTTTTTTTGATTTCGACAATTATAAAACTCGCCAATAATAACACCAACAGAATAAACAAGAGCCACATGTGTCATTTTTCCGACGAGAGTGCAGTTTGCACACTGAGCTGAGGGCTGCAAGCATTTGAAATGATAAGCTTAAAATGTGGTGCGCGTGAGATTTATTTCATATCTGAAACTAGAGCGAAAATGCAGCCAAAATAAATTTTTCTAGCTTGACATCTTGCACCCACACAATTTAATTTCGACTGCGCCGACCTACATTCCAACATAATAGATGGCTATAATGTGAACAGGCGCAAAATGAAAAACCAGTCGTGTTAGAATTTATTCAAAGCTTATTATTTTGATAAAAATTCTACCGACTAAAATGAATTTGGCCTCCAAAGCGAACAAAAACTGTCTTTGTTCTAAATTTATTTATGACTTGGAGAAACATGAGGAGTGTGGGTTATGTTCCGTCCTAACTTACATAAGTCCATTTCTTACATTATTTGTGCACACTTTCTCTCCAACTTCCCTTGTATTGATTATACGTCTTCGCCTTTCTTCGTCTTGAATAAAAATTTACATACAATAATTGCGACCTCTGGAAATACACCCAGATAAAGCCACTCGCTCCCGACGGTGTCGATAAGTTAAATTCCACCCTTGACAAAATTATTCCACCCATGAAAACACACAAACACACCACGTGACGACACGAATCGGAAAATTCGCGTCGTTATTAATTTTCCACCAAGGGGACACGAAACCTTCAAACCCAACTTAACTTAAAAACTCGTTTGAAACGAAAAATTTTTCATTACATTAAAGAATCCTTTAATTAAAAGCCCAATTTCGCGAAGCCAAGACGGTGGAAAAAGCGACTTTCCCTATCAGTCTTCATTACGTCGGACTGTATTGTTTAACATATTTTAATCGAGAGTTTTTACGCGAAACAAATCGAATGTAGATTAAGTTCGGAGTTGTTTGTCTGCGCTGTGGGGTTTCTGTCGATAAAAAAAACGAAATTTAGTGCTAATAAAATTCGTTCATGCTGTTAGCACCAAATGAGGTGCTATTTGAAACGGGTTTTTGTTAAGCGAAGGTTTTAGTTTTCAAAGAACAACAAAGTTGTAAGTTTTGCGTTAAGTAGGTCGAAACTGCCCTTGACAGTGGAGTTCATGCGGAAGCTTTATTCGATGCAGTTCGTTAGGGTTGATTTGATATTTGAATATCATGATTTGAGTCCTCGTAGCAATATTACGTGTGTTTCTCGTGTCGGATGCAAATAAGTCATTTTAAGTTTGCTTGAAAACGTGTTTTAAACTTGGGCTTAATGGTCTTTTAATGGTTGCTATGTAGGGATACAAAATTGTTCGAAGATTAGTTTAATAAAATTTCCTTCGCCCCTGAAGTACATATCCAGCTTTTTCGACAAATGATAAAATTTAATTTATTTTTAATTTTGCGAATAAAATATATTTAATTAAATTTCGAAAATCGTCGAAAAAGCATTTCTGTGCGAATTTTTTTTTGGCAATTTTGCCAAATCGTCAGTATTTCAAAACTCCTCCCTTAAGAAATTTTTTACCTTCCCCGAACACTTCCGAAAATTTACCTAGATATTTTTTGTTGGCTTCAACTTCTTCGGAAATTTTAACCATTGTCCGGAATCACCAAAATGAAATATGGGTATCTTAAAAAATTTATTATGAAAACAAAATTTCGAAAATTTTGAGAAGGATATATTTTTTTAAACAGTTTCTCAGTATCTATTAATATCCAAGAATTTTTTGTGAATTCTTACCACTTTGATTTTTTTAAGCCTTGTTCGCCACCTGACGCAGTAAAATTCAGTCTTCATCTGATAAAAAAAAAAAAAAAAAACAATGAAATTCGAAAGCGGTGGTGGATGAGATTATAGTTTTACAACTTTTTTCAATAGATGCTAATGATTATTATCACTAAAAAATCCTCCCTTTTATTATCGATTTCCACTTTTTCGAGGTTTTAGTTTATGGAAATTTTCAATATTTCGATTTTTCGATTTTCCGATTTTTCAATTTTTCTATTTCTCGATTAGCGCGATTTCGATGTTTTCATTTTTTAATTGTCCAATTGCTCGACTTTTCAATTTTTCGTTTTACCGATTTTTTAAATATTAAATTTTTCAATTATTCAATTTTTAATTTTTCCATTTTGGATTATTTCGATTCGACTTTCCGGTTTCTTGATGTTTTGGTTCCGATTTCTCAATATTTCGAATTTTCGATTTTTCGATTTTTCCACTTGCGATTTCTCTTTTTTTTTCTTGGAATTTTCGATTTTTGGCGTTTCCAAGTTTCTGATTTTTCGATTTATCGATTTCTCAAATTCTAATTGTATGATTTGCCAGTTTTCCAATCTTTTAATTTTCAATATTCCAATTCAATTTTTTGATTTTTTAAATTCACTTTTTTTTTGACTTTTCGGTTTCCAATATTTCGATTTTTTCAACTTACTGATTATTTGATTTCTCGGTTTTTCAATTTTTCTATTTTTTTATGATTTTAATTTTTCAATTTTGATATTACGGTTTTTCAGTTTTTTGGTTTTTCAATTTTCCGATTCCTTGATGTTTTCATGTGTAAATTTCCCAATATTTCGAATTTTCGATTTTTTGATTTCCCGATTTTTCCACTTTCGATTTCTCAATTTTTCGGATTTCAGTTTTGGGATCTTTCAGTGCTTTGATTCTTAAAATTTTCGATTTTTGGCATTTCCGAGTTTTTGATTTTTCGGTTTATCGATTTCTGTTTCTCGATTTTTCGACTTTTCGATTTATGGATTTTTTATTTTCTCATTTCTTAATTTCTTAAATTTTCGATGTTTCGATGTCTCCACTTCTCATTTTTTCGATTTTTAAATTTTCAATTTTTTCATTTTTCGATTTTTTGATTTTTCGATTTCAAGTTTTTCGAGGAGACAGTTTTCGCATTTTTCGATTTTTCAATTTTTCTATTTTTTATGATTTTAATTTTTCAATTTTGATATTACGGTTTTTCAATTTTCTGATTTCTTGATGTTTTCATGTGTAAATTTCCCAATATTTCGTATTTTCGATTTTTCCACTTTCGATTTCTCAATTTTTCTGATTTCAGTTTTGGAATCTTTCAGTGCTTTGATTCTTGAAATTTTCGATTTTTGGCATTTCCGAGTTTTTGATTTTTCGGTTTATCGATTTCTCAGTTTCTCGATTTTTCGACTTTTCGATTTTTGGATTTTTTTATTTTCTCATTTCTTAATTTCTTAAATTTTCGATGTCTCAACTTCTCATTTTTTCGATTTTTAAATTTTGAATTTTTTGATTTTTCGATTTTTTAATTTTTCTATTTTTTATGATTTTAATTTTTCAATTTTGATATTACGTTTTTCAGTTTTTTAATTTTCCGATTTCTTAATGTTTTCATGTGTAAATTTCCCAATATTTCGAATTTTCGATTTTTTGATTTCTCGAGTTTTCCACTTTCGATTTACAATTCTACGATATTTCAGCTTCGGAAGTTTTCAAGATTTCGACTTTTTTGACTTTCTGATTTTTTGACTTCTCGATTTTTCAATTTTTCTAATTTTGGATATTTGGATTGCTCGATCTTTCGATGTTTTGACTTCTCGGTTTTAATCTTTTCGGTTTTTCAGCTTTTCTATTTTGATTTTCCAATTTTTCAATTTTTCGGTTTTTCAATATGTCGATTTCTCGATTTTTCAGCTTATCGATTTTTCGACTTTTCGAATTGTCGATATTTTGATTTTCCCATTTTTTGATTCCTTGATTTTTCGATGTTTCGATTTTTCAACCCCCAATTTTCCAATTTGTCAGTTTTTCAAACTCTTAATTTTCGATTTTCCAATTTAATTTTTCGATTTTTTAAATTTTAGATTTTTCGACTTTTCGATTTCTAGTTTTTCGAGGAGGCAGTTTTCGCTTTTTTGGTTTTTCAATTTTTTGATTTACAATTTTATGATATTTCTGTTTCGGAATTTTTCAATATTTCGATTTTTTTGACTTTCCAATTTTTTGATTTCTCGATTGGTCAATTTTTCTATTTTTTGATGTGTCGATTGCTCGATCTTTCGATGTTTCGACTTCTCGGTTTTTCACTTTTTCAATTTTCCGGTTTTACAATATTTCGGATTCTCGATTTTTCAGCTTCTCGATTTTTCGACTTTTCGATTTATCGATTTTTTCCCAATTCTTGATTTCATGAACTTTCGATGTTTCGATTTTAGATTTTTCAATTCAATTTTGCGATTTTTTAAATTTTCGATTTCTCGACTTCTCGATTTCCAGTTTTTCGAACTTTCAGTTTTGGGATTTTTTGATTTTCAAATTTTTCGATTTACAATTTTACTATATTTCAGCTTCGGAACTTTTCAAGATTTCGACTTTTTTGACTTACCGATTTTTTGACTTCTCGATGTTTCAATTTTTCTAATTTTGGATATTTGGATTGCTCGATCTTTCGATGTTTTGACTTCTCGGTTTTAATCTTTTCGGTTTTTCAGTTGTTTTATTTTGATTT